TTTTAAACTTAGCTTGACTGATAAAACAGCCCAACCTGTATTAAATCTTTGTCTCTGCCTTCTCTGTACCTCCACTGAGGCATGTTTAACTTGAAGAAACTTGGTGAAGTGTCTTCGCAGTGTGATTGTACCATTATGGAGTTTAACCAGCAATTAAGGAGAGTTCCAGTTTCCTCCATAATCTAACACTTTGTATTGTCGTTCTTTTTTAATGTTAACCACTCTAATGAATGTAGTGATATCTCATTCTGGTGTTGATTTGCATTTCCCTAATGACTTTAGCATCTTTCCAGTTGATAATAATTCAAAGAAATTTTTTTGAAAAGCAGAAAATTTTAATTTTGATGAAATCCAACCCAAGGTTATAAGAATCTGTTAGTCTTTACATATGAATTTAAGAAATAGCTTGTCAGTTTCTATTAAAAAGTCTGATTGGACTTTGGGAATTTATTGACTCTGTACTTTAATTTAAAGAGCTAACATCTAAAGAATACTTAATTTGTATGAACAGTATATCTATTTAGGTCTTCTTTAACTTAACGTGGTTTTGTGTATATAATTTTAACTGTACAGCTTTTTCATAATTTTTGTGAGAATTTCCCTTATTTGATCTTTTTTGAATATATAAACAGCAATCTTTTAAAATTACACCTTAATTTTTCTTTGCCTTTAAATGGAAATACACTGTTTGCATCTTGGTCTTAGTTCCTATGTAAGGGCTATTACTGTCCTTGTTAAATACTCTTATACTAGCTTTTCTGTAGATTCCATCAAATTTTCTGCACAGATTATTATATTTTCTGTGAGTAAAACCAACTTTATTATTGTATAATCTGGCTGCCTTCTTCGTTGATAATATAATGGAACCCTCAGTAAAATATTGGTCAGGAGAGTGGCTGGCTACTTGAGTTTTTGTTCCCTATGTTGAGGCCTTGAAAGTTACTCCAGGTAGTAAGCTGCAGCAAGTTATTAAATTCACATTGTTGGGCCTCCCCTGGTGGCACAGCGGTTGAGCACTGGGCTGCAAAGCTGCCTGCAGCCTCTGCAGCACAGGTTCGATCTCCGGCCACCAGCGAGGGTCCCACATGGTGCGCAGACCCCTCCTGCCGTGCGCGCTGCTCCTCTCATGCCCGCTGCTCCTCTCAGCAGTGTATTTTGTTGGTCTCCCTGTTCTGTTCCCTGCTCTGGCTCTGGTGAATTCTCTCACCCTCCCGCACTTCTCACTGTACCCAGTGCTTATATAAATAAATAAATAAATCTTTTAAAAAAAAATTCACATTGTTTATTTAGTGTCTTTTAGAGATCAGTATACTCTGTTGCCTATTTTTCATTGTCAACAGGTTATTTCAGGCAGGAGGGTAAATTCTGTTACTCCTCTTTGTTTAGTAGCAGAGGTCACTATTTTTGTGTATCTATCCCAGTCAGGCTTTTATCCTATTCACTTGCTAAGACAGGTGCTGAATTTAGTGACTACTTAACAGCCTTCTCTTTTTTTCCCTATTGACAGCATTTGGAGTAATTTGTTGAATATTTCTAGGTGTTTTCTTCACTTACTGTGTGGCATACATCTTAATTCTATTCTATCTTCTCTGACTATGCTTTCACCATCTTCCTTGATTTCTCAACACTTGATTTTTCAAAACACTGAATGAGAATACCATGGGTGCTTGGTCTTTATGCTGTTAATAATCTGTAGATGGTTCCGTTTATTCTCATTACTTTATATATTTGTACATGTTGAATACTCTAAATTTCTAGTGTATCCATAGAAGTTAGATACTTGTCATTATGTTTTTATTTTTGTTGTTTTGTTTTGTTTTTGTCTCGAGCTTCCTGTTGAGTATATGTATTTCTGAATTATTTGTGTCTGTGGGCCCTCTGAACCCTCACTGAATGACTATTGAACGACACATTAAAAACTCCAGAGTTGTGTTTTTGTGGGGGCTATAGAGGAAGAGGAAAAAATGTCTCTTTCCTCTCAGAAGGGATAGATTCAATGTAATTAATTAGCTTATAACACAAAACATAACTTTTAAATCCAGTAGACACACAGCAGAAACAGAACTTTTATGATTTTCATTGACACCTAGAGTGTGTAGTAGCTGGGAACACCTTATGACACGGTTAGGGTCTTGCCAGATATGAAAGGTTCAGTTCTTCATTGTTCCTTAACCTCTCTCTTCTAGACTTACATCACCATTAATGAAAACTTATTTCAAATAATTGAGGGCTTTAGTAATAAACATTTTTCTCCAGGATACAATGTAGTTTCCAAACTCAGTCAAACTCACTTTAATATTTCTCCTCCTTCCTACTGTTATAGGACAGGGAGAGAAATCTGTTATAGGACAGGGAGAGGGGCAGCCCAAAACCCCGCAAACCTGCCTATTCTAAATGGGTTCTGCCATCCACCGCATCAACACAAAACATAGGAGACTTTAATGAAAAGGAACTTTAATAAAACTAGGAAACAATACAGGTAAGGCAAAGAATCTAGTTTCTAAATCAAGCACCCAAAGTTACCCATCCCCTCGTGGGTAAAAGTCCATCCAAATGGGATTGGCCCAGAGCAAGGCCTCAAGGCCTGCCACAAGTCTAAAGCATCTTCCAGTGGGGACCCACACAAAAGGGTCACAAACAACCAAGCCCGGAAGGAAAAGAGCAAAATCAACATCAAGATAAAAGCTGCCATTGTCACCTCCCCACGGGTCTCACCCACATCTGTGTCACCCAGTCCACGACCAAAAGACAAGCGCAGTTTCTTCACATGTCTCTAGGCTCCATGCGCCTCCTCCAGGTCTCCTGGCTCCATCCTGCTTCCTTCTTCCTGCAGCTTCTCCTCTTCCTGCTCAGCTCCACCCTCCCTTGGGTGGGGCAGGGAACCTGGAACTTCCTCCTTTCTTGGGGACCACCCTGTTACACTACCACCCATTGTTGCTTTCTTAGTTATTGTCTCTTTTCTCAGGAATTTTTTAACTGGAATTAGATTGAATTTGTATATTAATATAAGATTTGGTAGTTATATACTATTAAGTTTTCCTATCCAAGAACATGACATATCTTTCACTTTTTCAGTTTCTCAGGTTTATAAGCTTTATAACTTCACAGGTGTTTCAAATGTTAATTTTTATAAATAATCTTTTGCTGCAATAAATTTGTAAAGTTTATCACCTGTTGTAACATGTTGACTACTTACTTTGTATACGTTTTGCATGCTTTGTAAGCAACTCAGTATTGGTCTAATAGTCCTTTACTTCATCTTTTTTAAGTAATAGGGTTTTCAAATAATAAAATTTTAAGTTAATGGTTATAAATTCCTCTCTGTATTTTTTTTGTTTGTTAATCAGGTATATGATAGTTTGTAGAACATGCATACATTTTATATGTCTTAGGTTAATTTTAAAAGCTAAGTGACTATACTTGAAAGCATGATAGAACATGATGGTTAACTTTTGGGAGTTGGTTATTTTTGGGGGGCAATGGTTAAAATCAAAAAAACCTTTTGTTCCATAGCTTTAAGTATAGTCAGTGTCAATTATCAGTCTTTTTTTTGGTGATATTTTCTGTCAGCCTTTGGATAGTGTAGTTTGGCCATTCATTCCTTGGCCCAAGTGGATTCATAAAAATAATATGTAAAGTTTTTATTATGTAGAACTGTTTGAACATGTCTAAATACAGTCTTTTGTTTGTTTGTTTGTTTCCTTTTTAAAAGTGGTGGCTTATAAACATTTTTGTATTCATTAAAAATATTAAATAGATTTAATGCTTAAGTTTCAAAAGCATTGTTTATACAGTTTCAATTTTTGTGTGCTTGTACTGGTTTACATCTTAGTTTGAGTACTTGTTTTGTGAAGTCGCGTATGTGAGTTGTAAACCTAAGGACTTACCCGTTGTACTATACTTGTCAGTGAATATCATTGTCAGTATTCATGAATATTATTCTTTTTTCCCTTAATATGGTTTTGATTTGTTTCATTACTTTTAGGAAGGAAATCATTATCTTAAGGGAGAAATTTGATGTCATTTAATTTTTAAATTTTATAGAACTTTTAATTCTTCACTCTTAAAAATGGAAAAATAATGATTTCACATTGATATAAGCATTTTTTTATTAATGTTTTCTGACAGTTGATTGCAAATGAATTTTTTACAGAGATTTTTAATATGAGGACCCTCCAGAAGAATTTTATATTGCTTTTATATTGGTTTGTCAGATTCTACATGTATAAGCTTCTGTTGTGTAGTAACAAAATTATCCTAAAACTTAGCTTTAAAACAATATGTTCTTATTATCTCTTAGTTTGGATTAGGAATTCAGGTATGACTGGACTACTTTCTTTGCTTCAAAATCTCTTATAAGGCTGCAGGCAAGTTAAGATGTCAGCTAGGCCTGGGAATCTCATCTGAAAGTTTGGGGAAGCTTACTGGTTTTGAGCTTGCTCTTTGACCTAGTCTTAGCCTTTTCTGCTACAACAGGTTGGCTGTTATTTATTTGGGTACCACTCTTTGGGTTTTTTTTTTTTTTTTTAAAGATTTATTTATTTATTATGTATTTGTACAAGCACTGGGTACAGTCAGAAGCAGGAGGGTGAGAGAATTCACTAGAGCCAGAGCGGGGAGCAGAGCAGGCAGAAGGACCAAAGCACACTGCTGAGGGGAGCAGCGGGCGGCAGGAGAGGTCTACGCGCCATGTGGGACCCTCCTCCAGTGGCCAGGGAGCAGCAGGGGATCGAACCGGCACTGCAGAGGTTGCGGGCAGCTTCACAACCCAGCGCTCAACCGCTGCGCCACCCGGGAGACCCCACTCTTTGGGTTTTATACCCAGCCCCAAGAATGTGAACTCTTCAGTCCTTTTGTGTTATTGAATCGTAAATGTGTTTGTGTACCTCCAGGTAGGGAAGAGAGAAGGGAGGGAGGGAGGGAAACAAAAAAGGAAAGGAGAATGGTCATAATTCACATAACCTCTCTATTTTAAGCACTGTTCTTTTTTTCTTCCATAGGTGCCTTAGCTGGACCAATTGTTGTGGAGCCACATGTGACAGCAGTGTGGGGAAAGAATGTTTCATTGAAGTGTTTAATTGAAGTAAATGAAACTATAACACAAATTTCATGGGAGAAGATACATGGCAAAAGTTCACAGACTGTTGCAGTTCATCATCCTCAATATGGATTCTCTGTTCAAGGAGAATATCAGGGAAGAGTCTTATTTAAAAACTATTCACTTAATGATGCAACAATTACTCTACACAACATAGGATTCTCTGATTCTGGAAAATACATATGCAAAGCTGTTACATTCCCACTTGGAAATGCTCAGTCCTCTACGACTGTAACTGTATTAGGTAGGTATGCTTAAATTGTGTATTTTGGTGGTAGTTGTGAGGATTAAGTGGGACCTCTTAAATGGGCAGTCTTTGTTCCAAAACTACCTATTTGCCTATTAGGGATTTTGTCAGGTCTGCAAGATCTCCCTACTCAATCTTCCTTCACTTTTCTCCTGGATGTTATTGCTGAATAAGTGTTTTATATCACTCAGTTGGTATTAGTTAGTGTCTGCTCCAGAGAATCAGACAAGTAAGTGTACATACAAATGGCAAAATTATAGCTTAGCATCTGTAAAATGCAAGAAAGCAATTTTATCCAGATTTGTTACCGTCTTTTTTCATGTTTAAAGATAGTAATAACTTTAATTATTTGAGGACTTCATGTCTTTAAGACACTAAGAACTGTAGGGAAATATAACCTAGACTTAAGAAATTTATACTTTTGAGAAATGTTTGGATTGGAAAAATCAAGTTCAGTCTGTCAATGTAAAAAAGGTCACAAAAAGTTCAGTGTCAAGAAAATTAGTTTGTATGTGTAAGAGATCTCATGAAACTAAACTTTTTTGCTTTAAACTTGCATAATGCTTTACTGTTTGAAGAGATGAGTTGATATATAACATTTCTGCAAAGAAACTTTATATATTTAAAGTCACATAATAATTGGCTTTGATGTGGAGAAGTATTTGCCCATAAAAGGGAAAATAAAAGTTAGCAAGTTTTAGTACACTTGAATTAAAAACTTACGCTCATCAGAGCACACCATGAGGGTAGAAAGACAAGCCCTACGCTGGTAGAAAGTAGTTGCAACAACTGTGATCCAAAAAGGACTCTTCCCAAATCAGTAAGAAAAAAAAATTGGCCTTGTAAGCGTTTTGTATAAGAAGAAATTATAAATGGCTCCGACAACATCGAAGATCTTTAACCTTGTTTATAGTCTGAGAAATTAAAAATAAACTCTCAATGATAAATTCCAACCATATACCTACAAGATTGGGAAACATTGAGAAGGCTGTAGTATATAGGTATATAGGTGAACCACAACATTAGAACCAAATTGGTACTTCTGAAGAATTTTTGGCATTATCTGGTAAAGTTGAAAATAAGCACAGTAGAAGGAATGAACTTGAGAAACTTTTGTACAAATATACCAAGATACGTGAGTGAGAATGTTTCTTATAAAATTGTTTATATCAAAGAGGAAGCTAAAATTCAACAGTAAATTAACTGTGTAAGCAATAATAATTATTGCAATAAAAATGAGTAATAATTTTTAGTACTAATAATTAGTAATACTTAATGCAATTGCATGGTGATGTAAATGATATGAAAAACTGAAAGTTAAAAAAAAAATTCCCCCAACTGATAAACTAATAATGTTACCATATAAATAAATCTCAGGAACATGAAAGTTGCCATTTAAGTTTGCATTTATTGGTTGTACACCTCTCATGAAAAGTAAGTAGAAATTTATTCCAACGTCGTTCTGATACTTTCATAATTGGACAGATAGGGTGTTGAGATCAAGAAGCATATGCAGGATTTGGGAGAGGCTAGTGTTCCTTGCTAAGATTTGTGGTGATTACGTGGGGATATTTGCTATAAATTATTAAATGTGATGTATGCACTTTCCCTTTTATTATTTTGCAATAATACATCTTGTAAAAGGAAACATAAAGAAAATATTCATGTACTTACATTATGAACCAAAAATAAGCAGATACAAGTCAAGATGGATTTGTATTGGCATTGAGAAAATTCATCAATTAGAAATCTTGGAAATGAAAAAAGTATTTGAGATAAAATCTTAATGCATAAAATAAGCCTATAGGCTTAACCCATTGAATTCTTGACATGAGTACTGAGTAATTTACAAAAAGAAGCACTTAAAATTTGCTGGAAAATGTGAAGAGAAAGCTAAGAAATATGGAGGGTAGATTGAAGGAATCTGACATTCAGGTTACTTTCTCCTGCTAATGAGCTTTTTAAACCAGAAAAAGAGGGGTCACATGTACATTCTAATAAACACAACTATTAGTGATGCTATATTTTGACAGTCTAGATTCCATATTGGTAGCAATACAAAGTGTATTTTCTTTAATACACTTTGTTGTGAAATGAAACATCATAAAAACCACTTTTTTTTTTCTTCCCTAGTAATAATAATATCCTTAATTTCATAATGAAAATTGTGATCTAGTCCTCAGGAGTTTTTTTTTTTTTTTTTTTTAATTTTCTCCCCATACCGAATTTTTCTTTTTTCCTTTTTTTTTCTCCCCTCAGTATATACTAATTTGGGAGAGAACTCATTTGTTCCTAAAAAGAAAAATATATCTCTCAGAGACAGCCATCTAAAGATTATATGAAATTTTGGCTTCTTGTTTGTCTTGGTTCATGATCTTCTCTTGTGCCAAGAATCCAGTTGATGGTAGCTTCCCTAAAGTGTGTGTGTGTGTGTGTGTGTGTGTGTGTGTGTGTGTGTGTATTTTAGATGCTTTTGTTCCTAACTTTATGAAATATGGCTGCATATAACTTGGGAAGGTGTAAATGTATTTTTAATTGAAATGTAACTAATATTTTTAAAATTTACACAGTTGAACCCACTGTGAGCCTGATAAAAGGGCCTGATTCTTTAATTGATGGAGGAAATGAAACAGTAGCAGCCATTTGTATCGCAGCCACTGGAAAACCAGTTGCTCATATTGACTGGGAAGGTGATCTTGGTGAAATGGAATCCACTACAACTTCTTTTCCAAATGAAACAACAACAATTGTTAGCCAATACAAGCTGATTCCAACCAGATTTGCTAGAGGAAGGCGAATTACTTGTGTTGTAAAACATCCAGCATTGGAAAAGGACATCCGATACTCTTTCATATTAGATATACAATGTAAGTAAATGATGATATTTGCTTTTTAAACATCTCATGTATTTTATTTAATTTTCTTCATTTCACATACTTCTTTATCAGGCTTTTTAGTTTGAATATTTAGTATTTAGATGTTCCTACAACTTTCCTTGTTGACATTTTTTTCTTCATTTAAAATACTTCCATGCAAATTTTATTTAACTATTGGTATAACATTTTTTTATCAGTTTGTAAATGAGGAGGTGACTTTAAAGTTGCTCTCCAAGTTAAAATTATTTAACCTTTTCCTTTCTAGACCTTAAAAATAATTTAAGGGGATTATAGAAAATTATTTTCTTAAAATATGTAATCATTAGAAATCAGCAACTACTAATTTGGTCCAATTAAATTAGTTATTGTTCACTTCTATTGCTGTTACTCATGTTGTTTTCAGCAAGAATCCTTTACTTCCCTCGATGCATTTTTAGTTTGAGTTTTTTTTTTTTCCAATACTTTTAATCTGATTTTATTGATCACAATATAAGATTCTCAGAGTTTAAAAAATATTTTAAATACATTGAGATAGTAATTTTTTTAGGCAAGGTTCAAAGGGGTCCATCTTACATATTTTTGTTGAGATACTCTATTGTATGTTTGTATGTGTGTATTTATATGTGTGTTTATATACTTCTCCCTCTTCTATAAAGTTTCTCAGTTTTTTATATATTCTTTGTGTAGCATTTTAAAGTTTTGAACAAGAGAAAGGTAATGTACAGACTGATTATAATAAGGAAAATAAAAATTAAGCTGATTAGGGATATAGTTAAGAGAAGTTTTTAGGTTCTGCTGTCATTTCCACTTATACATAGATTATAAATCTAAATAAGCTTTTGAAGGAGTTTTTCTATTTTTTTGTTGTTACAGCTTTGGTTTTTGGTATTACATGCATGGAATTTTTAATTACCCATTTTCATTACACTCCATGATTTCTAAAGCTTATTCTAAGGATCATTTTTAACATTTATAGGGTTGAACTTGAGAAGGTATAGTTACACTAATGTACACTATGTTCTTGAGTACAAATACTTTTCTCCTCACTTTTCTGGAGAATCCAATTATAATTTTTCTTTTTTTCTTTTCTTACTTTGCTTTCACAGACTCTTAACTTTTTCCTTTTTCTTGTAAAATTCAGATCCCAATTGTAAGTATTATTAATACTTTTCTCATATTTTTCCTTCCCTGTGTCTACTAATGACTGAAGTTTTCTTCAGTTCGTATTATTTTTTGTTTCCGTGTATGTAATCCTAAATATATAAAAATATTTTCTATTTATTGGCATGCTTTTAAAATGTTCTTAAGTTACTCTTGACTTTTTCCTCTTTTTAATTGAAACCTGCAAAGCATATGAACAAAGTTCAGGAGCTAAAGTCTTAGATCCAAAACTCACAATGTAAAATTTGGGGATATTTTACTACCTATTCCTTTTCCTTTTTTAAAACTAGTAAACTCTTAGATCTGTACTGTTCTTACAGTTACTTTTTTAGTACCAATTTTAAGTTGCAAAAATGTTAATTCTTGATATTTGTAAAAGGCAGGAATTTCTGTTTTAAAATTACTAAGGTACTTATACCTTAGTAAGTCTTCATTTTGCCACTTTTTGTAAACCTTGCTTGACAATAGATCAGGCTTCCCTGGCAGATCAGGTCTCCCTCTAGCTTCTCATTGGCCATGTACTAAATATCTATAATTTACTGTGTAGCTCATGAAGAGTCCCTATACCATGCTTAAGTAACATTTCCTTAGGGAAGACTTTCATGACCTTCCCCAACTCCATCCCCAATCTTAAATGATCTGAATTAAGACCCTTCTTATCTTTTCTTAGCATAGTAACAGATATTTAAAAAATTCACCTTCCTATTACCAGTAGGATATAAAATTTATATTTAATTGTTTATTGACGTAATTATACAGCATGTGTGTTTAAAGACCTTTAGGTACATTGAATGGATAATAGCTTGTTTTATTTATTTAAATAATTTTGAGTTAAGTTCCTTGAGGTCAAGTAGATTTACATATTTGTATTTGCTCTGGGGGATATAAATTCAAAACTATCCAAATGTGTACTTTCACACCCTGCCCACCATCAGTGCTCCAACAGTCCTCCACCATGTACAGTTGAGGCATTAGGTAGTTTACTTTTATGATAACTATTGTCTTGAAAAGTTTGTGTCACATACCTGCATGCCCATAGAATATTAATATGGGAAATCTAATTTCTGTAATTGTCCAGATTCCTCATAAAGGATATCTCCATTTATTTTATGTATTTATTTAGTCAAGCACAATATGTAAAATTTATCATGTTAATAATTTTTCTGTATACAGTTCAGTATTATTAACTATATTCACATTGTTGTGCAGTCATGCATCCATCTTCAGAACTTTTCATCCTGCAGAACTAAAATGCTCCTTTCTCTCCCCTGAGGCACCGGAAACCACCATTCTACTTTCTGTGTCTGAATTTACACTATTTTATGTACCTCACATAATGTCATCCTACAGTATTTGTCTTCATGTGACTGGCTTATTTCATTTCGCACAACACCCTCCAAGTTCATCCATGAGCAGCATGTGCCAGAATTTCCTTTCTTTGTAAGGTTAAATAATAACTCCATTGTGTACATATACTTATTTTTTACTCATTATCTTTCTATGGTCATTTAGGTTGCTTCCAACTTTTGCCTGTACCTAATAATGCTATGATAATAAGCTACAAATATTTCTTTGAAACACTGTTTTCACTTTTTATAGAGATATGCTTGACATATACCATTATATTAGTTTCAGGTGTTCAATATACTTTGTTACACCCATTTTCATACATAGTTTCAAAAAATTATTTTTACTTGAGCTCTCTTAACAACTATCAAATTTGTAATATAGTATTACTGACTATAGTCATCTTGCTGTATATTACATCCCAGTGATTAGTTATTGTAAGTTTGTACCTTTTGACATTAGTAACACACCTCCCACCTTCCACGTCTGGCACCTAGCAATCTGTTCTCTTTATCTGTAAGGTTGGCTTTTTTATTTTATTTGTTTAGATATTCATATATAAGTGTGATCGGGCAGCATTTGTCTTTCTCTGTTTGACTTACCTCACTTAGCATAATGCCCTCAAGGTTCATCCATGTTATTGTAAATGACTAGATTTCGTTCTCATTATGACTGAGTAGTATCCCGTGTGTGTGTGTGTGTGTGTGTGTGTGTTTCTGTCTATGTCTATCCATATCTTCTTGATCTATTCATCCCTTGTTGGACACTTAGTTTGCATATGAACCTAGGGGTGCATATATCTTTTCAAATTAGTATTTTTTTTCTTCTTTGGATAAATAGAAGTTGAATTGCTGGATTACAAGGTAATTCAATTTTTAATTTTTTGAGGAATCGCTACACTGTTTTCCTCGGTGACTGTACCAGTTTACATTTCCCACCAGTAGCACCCAAGGGTTCTCTTTCTTTCACATCCTCACCAACAATTGTTATTTATTGTATTTTTGGTAATGGCCATTCAAATAGGTGGAAGATAATAACTCACTGATAATTTCCTTTCAACTTAATCATTTCCTTAAAGACCATTTTATATGGTAAATGATACTAAATGGTACTACAGACACATCTCATTATCAAATTAAGTATTATAATATATTTTCCTTGTACATATGTTATTATAGGATCAACTACTTTTGGTGATTATAGGTTTGACTATTCTTAACATTCATAGTAACTGGAACTGAACATATTTATAGTTCCTTCTATTTTGGTACTCATCTTTCACTTTTAATCAACAAATATTTATTGAGTATTGTCTTCCACTTTGGTCATGTGTATGGAGAGAAAGAAAAATGATTTCTTCAAGTTTATTATGTTAATGCTTTATTGTTGTATATTGCTTTATTGTTAACTAAAGATATACCTAATATCTTTATTGTTAACTAAAGATAATCTGTCATACATTTATTTTATAGATGCTCCTGAAGTTTCAGTAACAGGCTATGATGGAAATTGGTTTGTAGGAAGAAGAGGTGTTAATCTCAAATGTAATGCTGATGCAAATCCACCACCCTTCAAATCTGTATGGAGCAGGTAATAATGTTATATGTACTTCTACAGAGAAATGATCTTAAGGTGGAAAGTATTCTCAGATGAATATATAAAATTGTATTTATCATTGTTGCATAACTATAGTAATAACTGAAAATTAAATTAAATGAACGGTTTCTAAGTGTTCTGTCCTACCTCTTCTAATCTTCCTACTCCCACAGTTATGTCTCAGAGGCTGTTTTAACAATTCTTATGATAGTTATCATAGTTCTTAAACTGCTACATCTTACTTATTTTTAACATTGTGACTCCTTTTGATGGATCAAGTTTTAATTTTATATCTACCTGTTCACATACTCACATATTCCTACCCTTCATAGTCCCATTGAAATTAAGCTGCATTTTGTTAAACTCTACTGTTTTCCTCCCTATGACAGATAAATATTATTTACTGACAGCTAAGTGATATACTGGAATTCTGTTTTCATTGAAGCCAATAATTGCTTCTTTTTACTTGTATAGTTTCCTATCTGAATTTCTGAATTCTCTTTATGAAATTTCAAACTGTTAAGGTTTCCAGTCATATTTCACAGTACTTCGGGTCCCTCCCTTCAGTCTAGAGAGTTGTATCTCTGAATTCTGGTTAATTTTTAAAATTCTTGGTCCTTTCCAAGCCTTTTTTTCCTGTTTGCTCTTACTAGAACTCCTGTTACTTAGGGAAGAATAGAAGTCCTTGTTTTCATGGCCAGCTTATTTATTGAATTAACCTTCATTCTTTTGCCTAAAACACAAATCCCTATTTTCTGTACAGAGTTGGAAAGTGTCTTATTTTTTCAGCTTTCAAATAATCTTATTTGTAGCCCTCTACTTCACTCTGGTTTTCTCTAGAACAGTGAGTCAAACTCTAAATCTCTTTTGGGTTCTTTGGACCAGATTGGCTGCTTTCATATCCATGTTTTTTCCAAGTATTAATTCAGCTAAAGCAGAGCTTTTTTCAATATTCACGCTGTTGACATTTTGAGCTAGATAATTCTTTGTTATGGAGGCAGTATTATGAATTGTTTGATGTTTTGCAGCATCCCTGGCCGTTGTTCTCTAGAACCAGTATCATACTTTGTTCCTACCCTCACACCCAGTTGTGACAACCAGAACTGTTTTCAGATATGCCCCCACCACCACCCCCTGAGACAGAAATCATTCCCGATAAACACTGAACTAAAAGCATGTGTTGTTTTCTGTCTTCTAAAAGTTGGTTGAAACTTCTTGTCTTTGGAATTCTGCTTCCTGTGTTTTTTCTCCTTGTGGGTTTTTAAATAACTTCAATACTTTTCCTCTTGTTTTAAGTGGGATTTCATGAGAGTAAGGAAACAATGTATTTCATCAATCTTTTAGCAAAGATATAGTTTTGGGGTTTTTTGGTGTTTCTTTTTAGCAAAGATACAGTTTTAAAAGTAGAGGATACCACTTTCATTTTCTTTTTTTTTTTTTTAAAGAATGTCTTTTTTTTTTAAAGATGTATTTATGCATACAAGAGCTGGGATACAGGTCAGAGGTGTGTGGGGCGGGGGAGGGGCTGTGAGAGGATTCACCAGAGACACAGTGGGGAACAGAGCAGGTAGATTGACCGAAGTTCACTGCTGAGGGGAGCAGCAGGCAAGTCAGGAGAGGTCTGCTGCGCCATCTGGGTTGCTCCCTGGCCAGCTGGAGGATCGAACATGTGCTGCAGAGGCTGTGGACAGCTTCATATTTTGCATCTTAACCCCTTGCGCCACCAGGGAGGCCCACTTTCATTTTCTTAAAAGTGGGAAGCAGCCATTGGTTAAGGTGTTTGAAAGGATATTTCTAAGTCATGCAATTCTGAGTTCTCATCCTAGTGTCTGCACATGTACATATCTTTCAAATAATTCATTTACTATAGTTTTTTATTTCTTCATTGAGACTAGTGCCTTGTAGAGTTTTTGTGACGGTAAAGGCAAAATTATGTAGGTACATAGAATGTTAGGTACAAAGTCATAGAAGGTTCTTAGCCTGTTTTGTGTATTTGCTATGGTATTTGGATTTTTCTTACTGTGACTTACTTGAATAATGGATTTTAAAGAATTAAATGCCATTTTTACATTTCTCATCATTAGGATCCTCATCATCAGGTATCACCACCAAAGGGTATCTGCACTAATCACCTGTAGTCCACTGTCAAAGTCCATTGTTCTTCCACCCCCCTCACCCCCTTCAGTTCTGTGGTCAGCTCTCAGGGGTTAGTTTTTAAGTTTATCTTTCTCTCATTCTTAGTTTCATTTCTCTATATTCCACGTATTGGTGACACCATCTGTAATTTATCTTTTTCTTTCTGACTTATTTCACTTGTATTCTCTCTTCCAACTCTATTCATCTTGCTGCAATCTGCATGAATTTATCTTTTTTTGATTACGGACAAATATTCCATTGTGTATATGTACCACGCCTTGATCCACTCTTCTGTTTTGGGGCACTTAGGTTCTTTCCCTATCTTCACTATTGTAAATAGTAGTATTTTGAACATAGGAGCACAAGTTTCTTTTCAATTAGTGTTTTTACATTTTTTGGATAGATACCTTGAAGTGAAATTGCTGGGTTGTGTAGACATCCATTTTTAATCTTTTTAAGAAACATTCACACTGCTTTCCATAGGGGCTGGGCCAGTCTACATTCCCACCAACAGTTTATAAAGAAGGTTCCTTTTTTTTTTTTTTTTTAATATTTATTTACTTGTGCATACAAGAGCTGGGGTGTAGGCCAGAGGTGTGGAAGGGTGAAAGGATTCACCAGATGGATTGGGGAGCAGAACAGGCGGATCTACACTGCTGAGGGGAGCAGCAGGCGAAAGACAGGAGAGGTCTGCTGCGCCATGTGGGTCAGCTTCCTGGCGGGGAGATCAAACTTGTGCTGCATGTCTGTGAATAGCTTCATAGTGCTGAGACTTAACCCCTTGTGCCACCAGGGAGGTCAGGAGGGTTCCTTTCCTTTTTCTCCACATCCTCACCAACACTTGTTTCTGGTCATCATACTGGTGTGAGATGGCATCTCATTGTGGTTTTGATTTGCAATTCCGTGATGATATGTGATAATGAACACTTTTTTCATGTGCTGATTGGCAATCTCTCTGTCTTCTTTGGAGAAGTACCTATTTAGCTCCTCTGCCCATATTTTGATTGGATTGTTTGTTTTCTTTTTGCTGAATCCTGTGAGCTCTTTGTAGGCCTTTCATATCAGTCCGTTATCAGATGTATGGTATGCAGATACTTGCTCCCATTCTGTAGGGTGTCTGTTTATTTTAGTTTTGGTCTATTTCTCCTTATCCAGAAGCTTTTTTTAGTAAGAAATATATAATTAATACTTCACTCTTAACTTATGGAAAAAGTTTAGAATACTGATGCTTATAAAAATTCTGTTTTCGGGCCTCCCCGGTGGCACAGCATGTTGAGCACCACACTGAGAAGCTGGCCAAAGCCTCTGCAGTGCGGGTTCGATTACCGGCCGGCCAGGGAGATACCCATATGGCGTGGCAGACCTCTCCTGTCTCGCCCGCTGCTCCCCTCAGTAGAGGTTCGTCTGTCTGTTCTTCTCCCTGCTCAGTCTCTGGTGAGTTCTCTCACCCTCCCACACCTCTGACCTGTACCCCAGTTCCTGTATAAATAAATAAATCTTTAAAAAAAAAAATTCTTCTTTCAAAGTCTTCTCAAGAGAAAGTTGGGTGTTCTTTAAACTATGTAAGAATGTTACTTTTGTTACTTTTTAAAAATTTGCTTTGCTCAAACTATAGTTGTTTGAGTGTCTGGGTTTACTTGACATCTTGTCCTTTTATCTTAAAAAAGTAACTTTAATGAACTTTAAAAACAGTCACAAAATAAGGACCTTTTACTGTGTGTGTTGCTGTTATTTTTTGGTACCGTAAGGCTAGAAAAGGGATTTATAACAGTAGATTTAGTTCCAGTGTAAAGAATGGTTAAGAATGGTTCCAGGATAAAGAATTTTGAAGTGGAACTTTATTCCTGTTATGATTTTTATTAATATATTTGCTAGATATGACTTGTCAGCCAAATTAGTGTAAGACTATTTAAAAGGAGTTATTACTGATACCAAATATTGCCTTAGTTTTTATTGTCACAGGTTCCCACTTTACAAATTAAGTTATTTTGAAAGAAGACCCTTCTTGGTGCTTCAGAAACTGTCTTTGGTTGGAGCACAGTATAGACTGGCTTAATATTAAATGATGCTTTTTGAATATGTTACAGAAGATGGTATAACATTATGTCCTTAAGTGAGATGATTTTCATTAAGAAAATCACCTACATGTTTCTAGGTCGTGAATAGATTTATATTTCATTGAGAATTATTTTAATTTCTTTGATTTTATGGTATGTCTTTTAATGGTTTATTTTCCTAATTTTTTCAGTATTCTGAATATAATTACTGAAAATCACATTTTTTCCCACCTCCCCTCCAATCCAGTATGTTGAATTCAATATATTGAATTTTTATTTCACTTTTTTACTGAAGTAGCATTGTTTTATAACATTATGTTTCAGGTATGCATCATTGTAAATCAACATTTGTATGTAGTATATTATGTTCAGTACCAAAACTCTAATTCCCTGTGTCATTCAGACATTTGACCCCTTTTTTATAATTTAACCTATCCCCCCTCCTTCCTTCCCTTGGGTAATCACTAATTTGCCTTTATAGCCTACAAATTTTTGTCTTTTTTAACTTGTTTCATTTCTTTATCACATACATGTAGGTGAAATCACACAGTGCTTGTTTTTCTCCACATGACTGACTTCACTAAGCATGATTTCTTTTTTTCTTTTCTTTTTTTTTTTTTTTTTAGTAGTTGGGTAATATTCCGTTTTGTATACATAGCACAACTTCTTAATCTCATCAGTGGGCACTTACATTATTTCCAACTCTTGGCTATTACAGATAATGCTGTGATGAACATGGGGTTACATATATCTCTTTGAATTAGTGTTTTTGTATTCTTTGGGTGGTAAGTACCCAAAAGTGGAATAACTAGATTACATAGAATTTCTGTTTTTACTTTTATAAAAAAAAATTATTTATTTATTGGTGCGTGCAAGAACTGGGAGGTAGGCTAGAGGTTCAGGGGGTGAGAAGATTTGCCAAAGACAGAGTACGGAGTAGAACAGGCTGATCTACTGAGATACACTGCTGAGGAGAGCAGTGGGAGAGACAGGAGAGGTCTGCTGCGCCATGTGTGATAACTCCCACATTGATGAGGAATCAAACTCAATGCCACAGTGGCTGGCTGATAACTGGATAATGCTGAGACTTTAACCCCTCCGCCATCAAAGAGGCCCAGCTATTTTCACTTTTTTAAGGAATCTTCATACTGCTTTCCCTAATGATTGCACCAATTTGTATTCCCTCCAACAGAGTACAAGAGTTCCTTTCTTTCCACTTCTCCAACACTTGTTATTTTTTATCTTTTGGTGTTATTTTTTTATCTTTTGGACAATAGCAAGTCTCACCAATATGAGTTGAGCCATATTTTGATTTGCGTTTCTCTCAGGATTAGAGATGATGAGTATCTTTTCATGTGCCTATTGGTTATCTGTTTGTTTTTTGGGAAAAGTGTTAGATGCTTTGCCCACTTTTTGTTGGGGTGTGTGTGTGTGTGTGTGATATTGAGCTCTTGTTAGGTATATGATTTGCAAGTATCTTCCATTCAGTAAGATGCTTTTTTGTTATGTAATGTAAATTTCTTTCTCTGTGTAGCAGGTTTTTAGTTGTACCAAGTTCCATTTGTTTATTTTTGTTTTCTTTCCCTTTCCATCAGAGTCAAATCCAAGAATGGTTATTCTCAATGGACTTCAGCTATTAATAGTTCATTTTGATTAAAATGAAAATTGTAACATGCTTTTACTTCACAGTGAATTTTATACCTAAAAGATGCTATTTCTATAACTATTAGATCTGAAAAGTAAACTGTTTTTCTTAAGTAGCTGTGGATGACTAGAGATTGAAGATATTTATTTTAATTTCATGCTTTTTAAAATCTAGGTTGGATGGGCAGTGGCCTGATGGTTTATTGGCTTCAGACAATACTCTTCATTTTGTCTATCCACTGACTTTCAATTATTCTGGTGTTTATGTCTGTAAAGTGACCAATTCCCTTGGTCAAAGAAGTGATCAAAAGGTCATCTATATTTCAGGTAAGCTACTATTTACTCACAAAATGAGTAACTTAAATTATTCCCGTATTGTCAGTCATAACAAATAGCACTATGATCCATGTGGTAATTTATACTTGGGAAAATACAGATTTCCTCAATGTTTGAGTTTTCCAGATAACCTAAAATGTGTGAATAAGTAACCCTATCTTAAATACATTTGTCAGGTGGCATTCCTTTACTTAAAGAAATGGCAAGACATCTGTAAAACAAGTTTATTTATATTTTAAGATCTGTGTATATAGTTAATTTTTCAGTTAAATAGAGTAAATATTTAGTGCCTTACTAGGTTCTTTAGTGTTTACACCAAGGACAAACATTGAAGGTTTTTTTGGTTTTGATGGATACTCTGCATATATGTTTCTGGTAAATAAAATAAAACATCAACTGTAATGGCCTGGCTTATTAAATAACATTGTCTGTCACTCAATATGGTATTACTACCTTATTGGGTTACTGAGAAATGAAGTAAAAATATTATTGCTAATGAAGTAAAATTTAAGGTTTTTTTGTTGCTAGTTGTAAGTCGTTAAGAACCTAGATTTTTCACATTTGATTTGTCTCACTGTGAATGTTTCCATTAATTTGATTGAATAAAAGTTTGGACATTCACAAAGTATAGTTAGAACCAAAAATATACTTTTTCCTGTGTGTGGCTATAAAAATTTTTCAATGGAATGTTTACTTAAAAAACTATATAAAATATTTTGAACATCTTACTATATATGTAGCAGTCTTCATGTTTAACAAATGGAAAACTAAGGAAAAATGAAAACTGTGGAAAAATGCAGATTTGTATGTAAATTATGTAATAGTAAAGATTTTTATCTGTTCAAATCTAAAACTAAATAGAGGTTTGAGAGAAATTTAAAGCTTGTTTGAATGTTAAATTCTCAGTACATACATGATTATTCAATCTAAGAACAGTCTCATTAATTTTTAGACTTCCACAATTTGTAGTGTATGCTTATTTTTTTACTTATCAATTCAAAATGCATATTTAAATTATTATTAGACTTTTTACTGTTTGTGTCATACAAAATTTGATAAGAGATATTTGATGTGGTGTATTATTATAAATCAATGTATTACAACTGTAATCTTATAAATTTCGAGATTCCATTTGAGTATTCTTATATATACTGATTCCATGGTGATACCCTAATGTGTATCTTTTGGCATTCTGGTCTGCTGCCTAGTGTTAGTTCCTGACTTGTTAGTCCAACTACCTATTCATCGTCAGCCCTATGTGAAGTACAATAGATATTCAGTTTAACATTCAGAACCAAGAGTCTCCCTTTCCAGTCTCCTGCCCCCGACAACCTCTTCTCCAGCCCTCCTCTTCTAATGTATTAATAGCTTCATCCTTCAGTTTTTTCAGGGCATTATCCTTGACACTTAACCTTGATGTCATTATTTCTCTTGTACTCTACCCAGTCCATTAACAAATCACTGTTGCTCACCTGTTACATTTGTATACAAAAACCTAACCAAATCTCTGTTTCTGCTGCTGGTATTTTTGTCCAAGCATCAACAGCCCTTCCTTCACTTTTACAGTGGTCATTTAACCTCCCTGGTTTTACTTGGTCCTCAATGAGCAGCTGGAACGATCTGCTCACAGGGCATGTCAGGTGATTTTATTGGACTTCCCATTTTATCCACAGTGAAAACTGAAGGTTTTGGATAAGAGATGAGTTGTTGGAGATTCCAATATTCAGTTTTACTTATAACCCAGAGTCGGGGGGAGGATGAGGAGGAGCGGGCTTATAGTGTGGCTCCTTATCCAGTACTAACCAACTGCTGGAAATAATGTGTTTCTAGGATGCTTTTGGTATATTTCCCCCTGCCTCCTGAAATCTCTTCCCTTTGGGACAAGAAAAGCTTTTTTTGCCTTTTTTTTTTTTTTTTAATGTTTTCCCCTATACCTAAGGCTCAAAATATATTCCTATACAAATCTTGAATTTCAAATCATTATGAATTTTGGGTCCACAGAAAATATCAGACTTCAGAATGTACACTTATTTAGCAGTCTTTATACTTCAAAATTATAGATTTTGTTTAAACAATTTATAAAATCTAAAATGTCAACTGTTTAAAAAAAGATTAATATTTTAACATAGTAATTAGACTGACAAGGTGATCCTATTCAGTCTTGTAAACCAGTGTTACATCAATAAAAAGAAACATACTTTAATAGACATAGACTATTTGTTTTCCTGTTTTGCAGAACTCATTAATTTGGGGGGAAAAAAAGCACTAAGTTCTTCATTTAGGTGGAGAGAATTCAGTCTACTATTTCATTACGTAATTTTCATTGTGTACTCATTTGTTATACTTTCAGCAAAGAATATTAAAAAGTCTAACTGAAAAAAAAAATAGGAATGCTGTTGAGAAGAATTTTAAATCATGATAAATGAGTAGTTATTAGTGATTGCAAAACAGTTTTATCTCCTTACATGAACTATAGCTCTCATAATTATCTTGGAGCAGCATGAGAATTAGAAAGCATGAATAAATGTCTTATATACTTTGTTTTATGTCCATTGCTTAAGCCACAGAATAATAAGGTATTATCAGTTGTCTCTCTCATGGAATGATATAATGAGACTGATAGTTAACTAGCTGGTGGAGAAGTGGAATGGTAGTTTAAAAACTACTAAAACCGGGCCTCCCTCGTGGTGCAGGCTGTTGAGCGCCTCACTGTGAAGGTGTCTGCAGCCTCTGCAGCGCAGGTTCGATCTCGGCCAGCCTCCGAGAATCCCACATGGAGAAGCAGACCTCTCCTGTCTCGCCCGCTGCTCCCCTCAGCAGTGTATTTCGTCAGTCTGCCTGTTCTGTTCCCCGCTCTGTCTCCAGTGAAACCTCTCACCCTCCCGCGCATCTGGCCTGTACCCCAGTTCTTGTATAAAAATAAAATAAAATAATTAAAATTAAAAAAAATAAAAACCACTAAAACCACTGACAAATTTAAAAACATTTTTAAATGGGCTTTTTTTTGATTTCTCAGTTTTAATTAATTAGGTGATTTGTACTTTTTTAAACATGGTGATGCCTGTTTATTATAAAACCTTTTTTTCTTTGGGAATCATTGTAAAGATGACATAATATTTAAAACTTGTTTTTCCTTTTATCCCTCTTCCCTCAGAGAAAGCATGATTTGTCTTATAAAAGATTAATTTTTTAGTTGATTTCTTAAATATCCTGGTTCTGTGCAGTTGGATTATGTGAGGTTTTATTACTTTTATACTGGAAGTGATCCTACAATTCCCTAGTTTGTTTATTTTTTTCCAGATTGAATTTATTCAGCTAGTGAATATTTTCTCAAAAATTAAAACTTCCTTGATTCACTGACTTACATATAATATGATAACTAATATTCACTTCAAGATATTTGAATGGATTGCCTGTTATATTGGTTTACACTTATAAGAAATTAGTAATACTGTACTTGTTAAATTTTATATTATATTTGCTAAATTTTTACCACATTCTATACATATGGCATTCCGTGATGAAACCTGTTTCAGTAAGTATTTCTCTATAGCTTGTAATTTTAGAATAACTTACCCATGTAGATTTAGTATTTTTCTAACAATCATTTTTTAAAAGCTCTATCCACACTGCTCATTTAAAAATTAATTATAGGAGATTACCATTTGGGTCATTTATTTTTATCAATGAAGAAATTCAAGATTTTTAACTCATTCTACTTCAAACTAGAATTTGTGTAACATGACCTACAAATACCACTGATGATTAACCAATCTTTATTTTTACTATTTGTATTTAGTTGCTTTTTTAATATTAATGGCTATTTACTCTGTAATCTAATGGCAGTAAACAGGACCATTTACATCTAATATTTAAGTATTATTAGAATGTTCTCTCTAAAATATTAGCTACTATTTTTGAGATTTCATACTAAAGGAATGTGTCATTAAATTTTATAGATATGGTTAATATTCTTCAATATCCTAAATGTTAAGATATCTTACCCTTTGGGTATTGACATGATGACATTTGTATAATATTTTATAATTTGTTTTCCTTCATCTTTCTCTGTTAGTCTCATTTGATAACAGCCTATTTGGCTAACACATTTTAAACAAGCATTTATTTTTTAAATTACTAAATAATGGTATGTACTACATATGTCCTTTCTAAAAATTGAAAACTTCTATTTAAGGAAAATATTTTTGAGAGAATTATTAAACCAACAATTTATACTATGGCCACTTAACAAGAATCTATAGTTTTTCATTCTTTTAAAGATTAGTTCAGCTCTTACAGAAATAAACTATATTAGGTAAAGATGGATATTAGGAAAATACTTCAATTTCTTCATTCTTTCACATTATCTCCTTATGCTACTGGCTAAGAAAATGTACATTTTGAGTTACTTGATTTAATTTAGATTTTTCCTATACTTCTTAAGCCAGCTATATATAGGACACTTAAATAATACTCGTCATTTAAGAAAAGTATTCTTTGGACTAAAATACCATGTTTAAACTTGGAATAGAATAATTTAGGGTTTATATCATAGGTAATTTTTCATTCCTTTTTAACTTCATTGGTAACTGACTAAGTGTCAGTTTTTAAAAATATACATATATATGTATCACTAAATTCTTATCTTCAATCAAATTAAGAATGAAAAACTATTATTACCATGTATAAATATTAACTGTGCTGTCTTTTCAACTTGCTGCTGAATCAGCCTGCATTGACATTCTTTGCCTTTCTGTGTCTTGTCTATCTTTACTTGTTTCCATTAGATCCTCCTACTACTACCACTCTTCAGCCTACAGTTCAGTGGCATCTCTCAACTGCTGACATCGAGGATCTAGCAACAGAACCTAAAAAATTGCCCTTCCCATTGTCAACTTTGGCAACAATTAAGGATGACACTATTGGCACGATCATTGCTAGTGTAGTGGGTGGGGCTCTTTTCATAGTACTTGTAAGTGTCTTGGCTGGAA